GAAAATGAAAGCCTTTAAGGAATGCCATATATCTGAGGCAAATTAAAGACGTGTGTTGGTGTAACTCAGTTTGAGACTTTATTACACTAACAAAGTTACAGTTTCGAACAAACTGCACTTTTGTGTGTATGCTTACATTTTATGAGTCAACAAGTCCACGTTTAGGATGAAGCAAGGATTTATTTGGGTGATATCTTTTGTTAGGCCAACTGCATAGTTGGGATAGAGTTAGACAAGTTTTGAATGCACGGCATTCTTCTTCAGGTCCATTCATGGGACCTCCAAGTGGCTGCTTTACCAAGTATTCCTTCAGGTGACCTGAAGAAGAATGTCTTGCATTTGAAAGCTTGTCTAACTCTATCCCAACTATACAGTTGGCCCAATAAAAGATATCACACTAAGAAATCCTTGCTTCTTGCATAATTCCTGGACCATCATAACTACATCACTCTAACACTATAGTTAGGATGGGTTTCTCAGGTCTCTGCTACTGGCGTATTAGCCTATCAGATCAAACAATTGGTTCACTACTTTTATGTTGTGATGTGGATCTCTACATTTATACTACATACTTCAAGAATGCCAGGCATTGAAGCTTTTGACCTTAGACGATAGAATAAAAAGATGACAACACCTAACCGGTATTTCATTTCCATCAAGGAGAAAGCCTCAGTGGCTTAGTTCTGTGGGACAACTATAAGTACTAGGTGAACAGAATCTCAATTGGGATCAGTGTTTTGAGTCTTCAAAATAATCAAGGGTCCGACTTTAACATGGCTGTGCTGCAAGGTGGTTGAGCCACAATCCAATCTCTTGACCGTTGAGATTCAAGCAGCCCAGGGTGAGGTTAATACAGGCAAAGCACTGCCGGTAAGATTTCTATCTTGTTGACCCGCACATAGGAGCTTACTGTTTCCAAATACAAGCATTGTGGACAAATAATGCTTGTCTCACACTCAACAGCATAAATGCTGCAAGATAGAGATATCACAATATATAATCCAGCAAATAGAAATTTAGGTCTGTAGTATAGCTCTGCTCTGATATTTCTTACTTCATGTTGCACTGCTTTGATGTCTCTTCCATCAAAGAGTTGTTCTGTGCTGATGAAAAGACTTCAGGTCTGAACCAGCACCATAAATCTAAAAGTTTTTTAGCTTTAAATCCTCCTGTATGTTAAGTGAAATGGAAGGTCCCACACTGGATACTTGGCAAAGCAGTCAGTTTGAGGGAGGTACCTTCAAAATAATCCATGCCTACATACAAATTGAATTCCAAACATTACCTTTGGCATCTAATTCTATTTCCATTAAAATCCACAAACATTTTAGCAATGCGGGTGTGGGACTCTGGGGGCTTCAGCTTGTATTAAGCATAAAATCTATGGGTTTGATTTATTTTCAATCAAAAGGTTGCTTTATTCTGACATGTGAGTTTCAAGTTTGAGTGAAGATTATGTATAGACATTCCAAACTTTAATCTGTTCCTAGTCTGAAGGCTCTCTACCAGCCAGCATCTCCGTGAAAGAGCAAGCAGTCTGGCAGCTAGCTTTCACGTATAAATTCAGAGGTCCAACCGGCAAATGACTGGAGACCTCCCAACAACTGGGATTATCATGAGTTTGATGGAGTGAAAGTAGAGTAGCAGTCAGGATGTGATGAAAGAATAGAGCAATGGCAGGGGGGGGTCCTCTCTAGTTGCAGAGCAGAGACCAAGGGAAGGATTGGGTTGACTAGGTAAAGAGGAGGAGAGCGCTGGAGTGGCCTCTGCATCAAACTGGAGCTGGACAGGTAGGAAGAGAGGAGTAAGTGAAGAAACAGAAATAGAATAGAGTAGATTAGAGCAAATAATTGCTCCAACTGAACCTTTAAGATCAGTCTGAAAAAGGGGTGAACAGTCCCACAAGGAGAGGTTACAGGGCAACAGAACACAATATGGAGGGGGTCCAGCTGGAATTGGAGCACCTTGCCCATGTTATGCACACCCACAGAAACAAATGATCTCTTCTAATTTAATCTACATGTTGCTTTTCCACAGTGTATGGGTAGTCATTTTTCTTTAGAGTTCTACTGAAATTTGTAAGGTTAGACCTGAAAGCCACAATCTATTCCTAGCATCTCCTTTACATGATCTCTACAACTATCAGTCTAGCACTTTTCACCAGCATTATTTTTATTTTAAGAAGAAATGCTCTCGGGGAAAGAAGTCTTGCATTTAAGTAGATGAAATATTTATATCAGCTATCATGAAGATAACAACATCAATGATGCTGAACACAGTTCAGTATTGAAAACTACTCTGTGAATTAAACGTTTTGGCCTACATTCCATTTGGCTCTAAGATATTTAAGCCACTTACATGACTCTTACATGCACAAGTCACTAGGCATGATCCTATTCCATCCCACTCACCAACCAAAGGACCAATGAAATAAGTGGAGAAAAAACAGGCTGTCTGATAGGAGGAGGAGGGCCAATCTAACTTTTGTTGTAGCCTGCTAGTAAGGACACTTGCTCAAAAGTAGAAGACTGCATTCTAGACCCTATTTAGCTATGGGGTGTGTGAATATACTTCTCACACTTCCCAGGAAGTGCTCTAACTACTGAGCTATGAGGTAGCCAGGGCTGGTGGCATCCTGTCCCCTTCCTCTTGAAGCTGGTGCACTATAGAACAGGGGTGGGCAATTATTTTGGGTGGAGGGCCACTTACCGAGTTTTGGCAAGCCGTCAAGGGCCACATGGGTAGTCCCGCCCCTCGACAGGTGCCCCACACCCTGGTTGCAATTTTGGGACTGGAAGCCCCCTTAACCTCTGACCTTTGCCACCGGAAATCCCTCCCCTTGCCCCTGGAAGTACTCCACTGGGGAAGAGGGCTTGCCATCTTAGGGGAAAAAACAAATTATACACTCAAAATCAAACACCCATAATAATATATTTTAATTAAAAATTAAAAATATATTTTGTCCTGATTTGTGTGTGTTTGTGCTGTATATGTAGAAGTGATTGCATAATAGCTCAAAATGCAGTCTCAGTTGTATATTGCGTGGGCTGTGCAGGGGTGTTGGGGGGTTTTGGGTGGGTATGGGGTTTGTGGGGAGCTGTGGGTGGGTGGGTATGTGGATTTGTGGGAATGTGTGTGTGTGGGTATGGTATTGTGGGTATGGGAGCCACGGGGTGCAGAGCAGCTGGCAGATGGGCAGGAAAGTGGGGAAAGCAGTGATGGGAATGGGGGGCCTGCACCGATGTCCCAGGACCAGCACCAGCAGGGCCCAGAGCGTGGGGTGCAGGCTGGCAGGGGACTATGGCAGCGATTCCCAACCTTTTTATACTGTGGACTTGCAAACTATATAATTTACAGATTTAAATGTACTTTACATGTTTAAATTTAATTTTTATGGGGAGGGGGGCGGGGTTGCGAGGATCAGATTGGGTTGGGTCACTGGGGGACCCTGCAGGGGAAGGGGCTGCGCAGGTGGTGGCTCGGGGGGACACAGGTGAGACTGCCCAGGAAGAAGGGGCTCTGTTGCCTTTCCTAGGAGCAAGCAGCAGAGCTGCCTCCCTGTCCTTCGCCCCAGGCATTTCCCTGCCTGCATCCCCTTGCTCCCAGCTGTGGGCGGGGCTGGAGGGTACTGCCCGGCCCAGTGTGGGCCCCGGTACCTGGTGCACTTTACTGGGCGCAGCCATGGAGATGGGAGTGGGACAGGGAACACAGAGCCAGCTTTCCTCTGCCCCAGCAGCAGTTTGTGCCCAGCTGCTGCTGCCGTTCAGCCCGACAGGTGAGCCTGGACCTGGCATGGGGCCCAGGCTAGCAGTGGTGAAGGGAAACAAACTGATGCTAAGCGCAGGGGAAAAGTGGCCCCCTGCCTCCCTGCCAGCAGCGCTCCCTGCTGAAGCTGCTTGGAGTCCATGTGGGGTTGCCTGTACCTGCTCTTTGTTGCCACTGCTGCCCCATGGGGCACTGGTGATGCGGCAGAGAGGCAGGCAGCCCTGTGTGGGCTCTGGCCAGCTGCAGCAGGGAGCACTGGTGGTGCGGGGGGGTGGCTTTTCCCTTGTGCTGAGCACCAGTTCGTTCCCCGCTGCTGCTGCTCAGCCTGGATGGGGTCGGGGTGCTCGTGGTTGTCCCCGCCTGTACCACAGGGCTGAGGCAGACAGGGCTGGGAGTGAGCAGGCGCGTGGCAGCCCGATGGGAGCATGGGGCCCATGCTGTTGCCCTGGGGCCAGTGCAGGTGGGCCCCAGAGCAAGGTGGCAGGAGCGCGGGGTCCTGACTGGCAGGGGCTCTATGGAGCCGTGCTGGCTCCCCTCTTTCCTTGCTGACACAGCCCAGCCCAGCTCCATAGAGCCCTGCCAGCCCGTGCCCCACACTCCTGCCGCCCCACTCTGGATCCTGCCAGAGCTGGCCCCGGGGCCCTGGCATGGGCCCTGGGGCACCGACGTGGGCCCTACACTCCTGCACACTTCCACCCCCACGGCCATTCCTGTTCTTACCTGAATCTCCCGCTCTGGTGCAGGGAGGTGCAAACATCACCATGGTCCCAGACTAGAAGCCCCTGCTGAGCAGGGGCTTCTGGCTAGGGGGTGAGTGGGGCGGGGCGGGCCTTGCTATTGCAGGAGTCTGCTGTGGCTTTCCCTGGGTCCTACTGCCCCTGGCTGTTGTCATCTTTGACAGGCAGCTAGGGGCAGATAAATATTAATTTTCTAAATTTTAGGGGACCCTGGGGGGGTGGACAGAATGGCCTGGTGGGCCAGATTCGGCTCACAGGCCATATTTTGCCCATCCCGCTCTAGAAAAAAATGCAAATATCACAGCACCAGAAAGATAGTATGCAAGATGGTCCAACTCCTAGAAATGTGGGGACTTCCCTGGAAGGGAGGGATCCCTGAATTCTGGCCTCTGTTCCCATACTCTTAACCAATTACTAGAAATTCAAGTACTAAAAACTGATATAATAGAAGTAACTACCTAACCCAAATGAAATAAAACCCAACCATTTGTGAAGTACCTCGGTAATTGATGATTTCTGTTCCAAGCACTGGAGTCATCTCTAGGACTGTGATGAAGGCTTTGTCCATAGATGTAAGAGGAAACGGCGACATGCGGTGTCTTCTTGCCACCTTGGTAATGTCAACAGCACTGTGACCTGCAGAGGGAGAGCATCTAGTTTAAAAAAATAATCACCGACATTTTCCTTGGGAGTGCCATAGGATGATTTAGATGTATTACAGCTACTGTCATTCAGAAGAATCATATCATGTTTTACAAATTGCATAAGGGCAGAACCTTGTTTATCCCTGAAATGCAGTGCCTTCACCTATGAGATGAATTACAGCAGCTGTTGAACACTGCATAGCCATTTAGGAAATTAAAGGAATGAATATGTATTTTATAAAATTGAAATAGGGCTACTATTCCTGCTCTTAGAAAAAATGCTCTAGAAGCTTTAGTGACCACGAGAAGTCATTACATCACTATTATGTAATGTCCAAAAGGAAGTGTAGCATTTGACCCCCAGGATCATGATTTGAGCATGTTCTAGATCTTGGAACTAGTTAGCATTAGAGGCAACCTACTCTGATGGTTCTGTTCCTCCTCTACAGACTACACCCATAGCAGTGTGATAGGTGAATATAAATCAACAATCAGGGCCCCTGACTCTGGGGTTCCATACTTTCTTTTCTCTCCTTCCCTCATTTAATATCTATATTTACAGTTTTAGCCTTAAATTTTAACAGATGGTACTGAACAACATACACTGACTTCATCTTAAATACAAATCACATCTTTTTCCTAGATATTCCAAAGCATAATAAAATCAGCAATTGCACAACTCAAAGTGGCTAAAGTTAAATCCAAGAAAATGTGTAGAGCTTGGTACTTTGATGTGGTAGCCAGCAGAATTCCACACCAATCCATTATTCTTAAAAGAAAGTGTCTGCCGCTCATGCATGTCAACACTGACTTCTACTTGATAGACACTCAGGGCTCCTATGCACATGCAGGGAGGCTACTCCGATGCACTGTCATTCCAGCGTGTCAGAGCAGACTCGATTAATCGAGTCTGCTGAAGTGTGGAAATTAACGTGCTCCAGCTGCCTCCATGTGTATCAGCGTCCCCATGCTGAAAAATGGCGGTGGGGCACTTTAAACTAAAGCTTGTTCGATGAGTGTTAGTTCAAGCACTCCCGCTGCTTTTTTCAGCATAGGGACACTGATACACATGACAGTTCAGGCACTGTAATTATCACGGCTCTTGGAGCTGTGCTAATTAACATCCCCCCCCCCCCCCCCCGAAGCATGTCTATAAACACCCCAAATGCCATATTTTCTCACATACTGCACACCCCAAATAAGACGCATACTTTGATTTTGGAAAACAATGTAGAAAAAAACCCAACATTTTTCCAGAGCACTGGCCAACTGTTGAACATAGAATAAGTGCTCCTGGAAACATAGTGTCCAGGAAGTGTGGCATCCTAGGAGACAGTCTGGGTGATGCAGCAGGAACTTCCTGGTGTCACAGGATGGCAACAAAGCTAGGTCCCAGACTCTTTCAAGGGCAGCATCAAGACTGTTTCATCTTAGTTTTTATATGAATTCCTGTAAAGAATAAAGTGTTGCTTCTGTCTCACAAACCTCAACAAGACTGTATAGATTACAAGCAGCAGCTCACTTGCCCTGAGCCAACTCAGTTGCGTCTTCTGGCATGACTGTGGGAGGGTTAACACAGGATTCTGCCCCTTATGCTTGCTGAGCCAGGAAGAAGTGGCAGCCATTTTGATGGCCAGAACAAGCAGACAGTGTGCTCTAATATACTTGCTTATTTCTATACTAGCAAAGAAAAATCAGCTTTTCCACTCAGGGCATGAATCCCAATTTTGGGGAAAGGGTGCATGTGATATGTGAGTAAATATGATAGTAGTAGTAGGAGGAGGAGGAGGAGGAGGAGGAGGAGTATTTGTTGTATTACTATAACACTCAAGGGTACTCGTCATGGACCTCACTGTACAAACACAGAACAAAAAGATAGTCCCTGTCTAAGAAAGCTTATAATCTAAGATAAGAAACATGAAATGGATACATATGGGCCCCTGTTCCCTGCCCTGGAGCATAAGGAGACAAATCTCAGCATGGTGGGCAGTGGTCTTAAACCAAAGGCAGCCTATCTATGGTCAAGCTTTTTGAAGACATTGCAGAAAGGAGAGTTTTAATGAAGGATCTGAAGGAGTATAAGCAGGTAGCTTTGCAGAGATTTATAGGTAGCTCCCCCGAAGTGTGAGGGACTGCATGCAAGAAAGCACAAAATGTTGGTTTGAAAATCAAACAGATATCATGGACAGACTGGTGACAGGAGTTTACCTCTCAGGACTAAATGAGAGATGACTGGTAGAATGGCAATAAGTGGTGAAGGGCTTTGAAAGTAAAGATAAGTAGGATACTTTTGGGAATGGCCAAAGAAAAAGTTACAAGGTATGCTAGGGTATGAACTTACAGTGCATCAGCTATTTCACAGTCACTGCCCACTTGCAAACTTTTACCATGAGGTAAGCGTGAGAAAACTTACTCCACTTTCACTGAGAAGCAAACTATCTGGAATTTATTTCAGGACATCCATGTGCACATGAGCAATTACTATGGAGTAGCTGATGCACTGTTAATTCATATCCTGACCTCTTTGTGTAGCCATAGCCATTGATGCTATGGAGAAACATTTGATGCGTGCCAGTGAGAGAAGTGTCAATGTCCAACCAACAGCCTAAGAAAATGATTTTTGTAGCAGCATTACGGATGAATGTATGTAGGGTAGGCACAAACACCCTTTCATAGATTTCATAGATTTTATAGACGTTAGGGCTGGAAGGGACCTCGGAAGATCACTGAGTCCAGCCCCCTGCCCAAAGGGCAGGAAGTCAGCTGGGGTCATAGGATCCCAGCAAGATAAGCATCCAGTTTGCTCTTGAAGGTGTTCAATGTAGGCGCTTGAACCACCTCCGGTGGCAGGCTGTTCCAGACCTTGGGGGCTCGGACAGTAAAGAAATTCTTCCTTATGTCCAGCCTGAAATGGTCTTGTAGTAGTTTATGACCGTTCGACCTAGTCGTCATCCCTAGGGGCACTCTGGTGAACAAACGTTCCCCCAGATACTGGTGGTCACCCCTGATAAACTTATAGGTGGCCATTAGATCACCCCTGAGCCTGCACTTTTCCAGGCTAAAGTGGGAGATAATGAAAGCATGGACAAGAGTTTAAGTGGTGCAGATGGACAGGAAAGGCTGTATCTTAGAAATATTATGTAGCAAGAATCTACAAGATTTAGATCCAGCCTGAAAGTAAGCACCTCCAGAGAATTCCAAATTATTGATGGTGCCTTGCTTATACACATGAGTGACAGTCAGGATGGTGATAGTGATCATCAGGGATCCTAGTTTTCCAGGGGAAAAAAGGCAGAAAATCTCCATGTAAAAAACACAAAAATCTGCATTTTTCCATGACCTAACAAAATTGTAGTGGTATCCTGTGATGAAAGGCATCGTTTCTGCTCTTGGCCAATCATCAGTGTGCCCTGCTGTCCCCTCACTGATTGGCTGAGAGGCAAAAACCATGGCAAAAATAAAAGAGAGCAGAAATGGCACCCCACACCATGGGATGCTGCTATGCTTTTGGTAGGTCACAGAAAAACATGGATTTTGCGTTTTTCTGCGGTGAACAGAAAACGAGGATCCCTGGTGATCACAATGTTTGAGAAAGGAGGTTGGAAGGAAGCGGTTTTAGCCATGTGGACCTTGATCTGATAGTTAGTCATCCACAAGGAAATGTCAGAGACAGGCCAAGATTTTGGTTCAGATAGACAGAAATAGATCTGGAATATGGAGGTAGATCGGTGAGTTCTTCACCTAGAAATGGTAATAGAATGTGACTTTGGAAATGGACTTGCCCAGATATAAGATGTAAAGGGAGGAAAGAACGGGCCCAAAGAAAGCTAGAGCAAAAGCATGTTCAATGAACTTACAGATGAAAGGAAGAAAGAAGGTAGACCCATATTTGTACTAGTAAAGGCTAAGGTTATAATTCTGTAGCAATGGGAGACACTAAAAATCATGTTGAATTGTGAAGAAAAACAGCAAAAGAAGAATGAGAGACTAAAGAGGTGTGACAGTGGGTGTCAGGAAATCAACATGAAATGGGAATGTGTCACTGGGGTATGCAGAGGGCCTAGAGTAGTAAAGTAGAGAAAAAACTTTGTGTCTCTGATAGGGGAGGAGGAGGAGAAGTGACAGTAGGGGAAGGGGTAAGTGAGTTAACAGAAAGAGGAAGATCTTTCCTGTTCTATTTTGTTAATTTATTCTTGGAAGAAATTAGTGACATCCTGTTTGGAGAGGGAAGTAGAGGCAGGAGATAGGATAAATTTGAGGAGTGAATCAACAGTGATGAAGAGGTGGCTAGAATTGCAGCACGAGAATCGATTCAATTGAAGAACTCAAATTGCTTACCTAAGGAGATGGAAGAACCATAGGAGGTGTGAATCACTATGTAATGGAGGAAGTTGGCCTGGCCAAAGGATTACCAACTGGATGATATGCCGTGCAAACAGCAGCAAAAATGATTTCTTTCACCTTTGACTACAGACAACCCCTGCTTAACGCGGTTTCAGTTAGCACTATTTCTCTATAGCGCTCATTCAGAATTAATATCCGATTCTGCTGAGCACTCAGCCAGTTTCGCTATAGCGCTGAGTGGAATCAGAGTTTCTGCAGGCAGGGGGGCAGGGAGAAGTGGTCGTGGCAGCAGCAAGTGGAAGTTGAGTGAGTGGTAGTGAGTGGGTAGGCAGGCATGAAGGCCTAGGGTGGGACAACTGGCACATGGTGCCCGAGTGGGCGGGGGGAGTGGTGGAGACAAGCGGGTGCAAAAGAGGGGAGGAGCGCAGGACCCAAGCCAGTGCCCAGGGCCAGGGCCGGCAGGGGCCTGCACCCAGGGTGGGGGGCAGGAGCATGGGGCCTGCACTGGGGTGTGGGACCTGTGCTGGGGCCAATGGAAGCCTGCACCCAGAACAGGAGGGCCGGTGCCCAGGCTGGAGGGGGTGGGGGGGGTGGGGAGAAACAGTGGCAACAGAGGCAAGTAGCATGGGGCCCGTGTCGGTGCCCGGG